GGGAGGGCAGGGCAAGGCGAGGCTGGGAAGAAAGAGCGCGCCAACGCCGGGCAAAGAAAGGGCGGGGCGAGGACCAGGGGCGGTTAAGGCCTGAAGCCTGCCGACGCGGGTGGGCGAGGGGCTGGAAGAGGCGGGGCGTAGAGTAGCCTGCCGTTCCGGACATGGAAGGGAGAGATGGGAAGAGGTGGACGGGAAAGGTGTCGGTGGGGACCCTGAGGATCGCAAAGTCAGCGTGGGTGTGGGACTGCGGGGGCCCCTGCAGCCAGAGGGCAAACTTTGACAAGGAGATACTCCCAGATTACGAGCGAAGTCGAGGCGAAGACAGATTCTGGGACAAGCGGAGAGTTATTTACGAGAAGGGGCACAGCCCAGAGAGAGCCAGATGGGGAGGCGAAGACGGTTTCTGGGACAAGGAGAGAGTTGTTTACGAGGTAGGGCATAGCCAAGAGAGAGCCAGATGGGAAGACAGGTTTGGTAGAGAGAGGAGGAACCTGAGTGAGGAGCGACCACCCGGAGGAGACAGATTCTGGGACAAGGAGAGACCTCGAGGAGTAGAGAGGCCTCACGACCAGAGGAGGCTCCCTAAGGAGACGGCTGGCACAGAGGCGCAAGCAAGTGCCGGGGAGAAACCACGAGGGCAGCAGAGGGGCCCTCAAGAGAAAGGGCTGGCCGAGGAGCAGGCGCAGGGGAGCCAGGTTGCCGAGGACCCTAGGAGAGCGGGAAACCAGGACCAGGGGCGTGTCCAGGAGACAAACCGAAGCAAGGATCCGATCTACGACAAGAATCCAGGCCCGAGTCAGGACCAGGATCGTGGCCCGGTGAGAAAGGAGAGCAAGGATCCGATGAGCGGCAAGACCCGGGGCCCAAGCCAGGATCAGGATCGTGGCCCTGTGAGAAAGGAGAGTAAGGATCGGATGAATGGCAAGACCCGGGGCCCAAGCCAGGACCAGGATCGTGGACCGGAGAGAAAGGAAAGCAAGGATCCAATCCACAGAAAGCATCGGGGCCCGAGCCAAGACTTGGGGCATAGAAAGGGGAGCAAGGATCAGGTCTACAGCAAGACTCGGGGCCTGAACCAGAACCAGGGCCGTGGCCCGGAGAGAAAAGGGAGCGAGAGTCCGCTCTCTCGAAAGACTCGGAGCCAGAACCAGGGCCGTGGCCCAGAGAGAAAAGGGAGCGAGAGTCCGCTCTCTCGAAAGACTCGGGGCCAGAGCCAGGGCCGTGGCCCAGAGAGAAAAGGGAGCGAGAGCCCACTCTCTCGAAAGACCCCTGGCCAGAGCCAGAACCAGGGCCGGGGGAGTGGC